GAACAGGCCTACCAATCAGGGCAAAAGACCTAATTTGTTTTGTGTTTGTTACAGTATTCATTCTAGTATCCTGCGATAATATTTTGAAGATAATTTTGACAATATCAATTACTTGATTTAATTAATTTTTTGTTGTAATTTTTTATTGTTGTAAATATATATATATATATATATATATATATATATCACAGCATTTGCCAATTCCAGATTTTTCATATGTACAGTTTAGTGACACTAATAATAATCAGAATGTGCAACTATCACCATATTCATTGCCACATTTTCTGTCACCATAAATAGCAACTCAGTGCTTCCCAAACAATGACTGCTTTCCCCCTCTCTCTGCCCCTGGTAATTACTAATAAACTTTTATCTCTATACATTTGTCCATTTTTAAGTTTTAGGAGTTCTTTATATATTCTGGCTGTTAAAACCTTATCTAATACATACTTCCCAAAATTTTCTCCCGGCCCAGAGGTTGTCTCTTCATTTTGCTGATAAAGTCCTCTGATGTGCAAAAGTTTCTGATTTTGATACAGTCCCATTTATCTATTTTGTCATATATTGCTTGTGATTTTGGTGTCATACCTAAGAATCCATTGTTGAAGACTAGGTCCCAAAGCATTACCTCTATTTTTTTTTTCTAAGAGTTTTATGGTTTTAGGTCTTACATATAGGTCTTTGATCCATTTTGAGTTAGTTTTCTTGGATGGTGACAGTTCCTTGAATGAAGTATGGGTCTATTTTGGTTACCTCATGTCACTCTAACAGAAATACCACAAATGGGTGGTTTTAACAAACTGGAGTTTATTCTCTTACAGTTTTGGAGACTAGAAGTCTGAGTTCAAAGTGCCAAGCTCTAGGGGCTGGGTGAAAGCCACTCAAACTTGGGCTTCAGCTCTGCCTCTTGCTCCCAGCCCCCTGGAGCTGGAGGCATCTCTTCACTCAGGCAGCTACTGACTGCTGAGGCTTACAAACCCAAGGTTGACAAGTAAAATGTCACTATCTCAAAATTATCAAACCATATGGCAGGCCACTAATTCAAGTCCATTAACAGTCCTAATACTAGCAGACAACATGGTAGGCTGTTGAACGATGACTTGGCTACATGCAAGATTCAAGCATGCCAAATGCTGCAGAGACCTTTCTCAAAACCTATCTCTATATACTGGAAGCAGACCACATCCCCAAGGCAGCTACTTAGTTGTTCTAGTAGATACCACCATGGAGTTGATTACCAATATCATCATAGGGAATAACTACATCCTTCTGTCCAGCCACTCAAAAACAGGCCCAGCCAAGTTGACACGCAATATTAACTACCACAGGGTCTAACCTCATTATTTTATGTGTGGAAATCCAGATGTCATGGCACCATTTATTAAAGAGGCTATTGTTTCTCCATTAGAAGGATTTATCACCCTTATTGAAGATCAGTTGAGTATAGATGTGGCTGCTTATCTCTGAACCCTCAATTATATTCCATTGGTCTATATGTCTGTTATACAAGTACCATGTTGTTTTCCACCACTCATCTGTCAGTTTATCATACTGTGGTGGCTTGTGTGTTGCTGTGAGGCTGGAGGCTATGCCACTGGTGTTTCAAATGCCAGCAGAGTTACCCATGGGTGGATGGGTTTCAGTGGCACTTGCAGACTAAGACAGACTCGGAAGAAGAAAGAGGCCATCCACTTCTCAAAGAATTGGCCAGCGAAAACCTTATGAATAGTAGTGAAACACTGTCTGATATATTACTGGAAAACTTTGAGTAGCCCTGAAACATTGCCTGCTATAGTGCTAGAAGATGAGCCTCACAGGTTGGAGGGCACTCCAAGTATGACTGGGGAAGAGCTGCCTCCTCAGAGTAGAGCTGACCTTAAAGATGTGGATGGAGTAAAGCTTTTAGACCTTCATTTGCTGATGTGGCACAACTCAAAATGAGAAGAAATGGCTGCAAACATCCATTAATAATTGGAACATGGAATGTACGAGGTATGAATCTAGAAAATTGGAAGTTGACAGAAATGAAATGGAACACATAATGATTGATATTCTAGGCATTAGTGAGTGGAAATGGACAGGTTTTGGCCATTTTGAATCAGACAACTATATGATCTACTATGTCAGGAATGATAAATTGAAGAGGAATGGCATGGTATTCATTGTCACTAAAAATGTATCAAGATCTATCCTGAAGTACAATGCTGTCAGTGATAGGATAATATCCATATGCCTACAAGGAAGACCAGTTACTACTACTATTATTCAAATTTACGAACCAACCACCAAAGTCAAAGATGAGGAAATTGAAGATTTTTACCAACTTCTGCTGTCTGAAATTGACCAAACATGATCAAAATGTGTTGATTATCACTGGTAATTGTAATGCAAAAGGTGGAAACAAAGACGAATCACTGTTGTTGTTATTTGCCGTCCAGTTGGACCTGACTCATAGTGACCCCTCTTTGGGTTTCTGAGGCAGTATCACTACAGAAGTAGATTGCCTAACCTTCCTTCCGAGGAGTGCCTGGTGGGTTTGAACTGCCAGCCTTCTGGTTAGCAGTCAAGTGCCTTAGGCACTACACTACCAGAGCTCCTAGAAGAATCACCAGTGGTTGGAAAATATAGCTTTCATGATAGAAATAATGCTGGAGATTGCATGATAGAATTTTGCAAGACCAGTGACTTATTCATTGCAAATACCTTTTTTCAACAACATAAATGGCAGCTATACACGTGGACTTCACCAGATGGAGTACATAAGAATCAGATTGACTACATCTGTGGAAAGAGGTAATGGAGAATCTCAATATCTTCAGCCAAAACAAGATCAGGAGCTGACTGTGGAATAGACCATAAACTGCTCATATGCAAGTTCAAATTAAAACTAAATACAATTAAAAGAAGTCCACAAGAGCCAAAATATGACCTTGATTATATCCCTCCTGAATTTAGAGACTATCTAAAGAATACATTTGACACACTGAACACCAATGACTGAAAACCAAAGGAATTGTGGGATGACATCAAGAACATCATCCATGAAGAAAGCAAGAGGTCATTAAAAAGATGAGGAAAGAAGAAAAGACCAAAATGGATGACAGAAGAGACTCTGAAATTTACCCTTGAATGGAGAGTAGCTAAAGCAAATGGAAGAGTTGACAAGGTAAAAGAGCTGAACAGAAGATTTCAAAGAGCAGCTTGAGAAGATAAAGTCAATTATTATAATTAAATGTTCAAAGACATGGAGTTAGAAAACCAAAAGGGAAGAACATGCTCAACATTTCTCAAGCTGAAAGAACTGAAGAAAAATTCAAGCCTTGAGTTGCAATGTTTAAAGATTCAATGGACAAAATATTGAATGATGCAGGAATCCGAAGAAGATGGCAGGAACACAGAGGCACTGTACCAAAAAGAACTGGTTGATGTTCATCCATTTCAGGAAGTGTCATATGATCAAGAATCAATGATATTGAAGGAAGAAGTCAAAGCTGTACTGAAGGAATTGGCAAGGAACAAGGCTCCAGAAGTTGATAGAATACCCATTGAGATGTTTCAACAAATGGATGCCATGCTAGAGGCACTCACTCATTTATGCCAAGAAATTTGGAAGACAGCTACCTGGCCAACTGACTGAAAGAGATCTGTATTTGTACCCATGCCAAAGGAAGATGATCCCATAGAATGTGGAAATTATCTAACAATATCATTAATATCACATGCAAGTAAAATCTTAACTAAAGATAATTCAAAGGTGATTGTAGCAGGATATTGACAGAGAACTTCCAGAAATACAATCTGGATTCAGAAGAGGATGTGGAATGCTGATGTCTAATGGATCTTTGCTGAAAGCAAAGAATACCAGAAAGATGTTTACTTACATTTTTATTGACTATGCAAAAGCATTCAACTGCATGGATCATAACAAATCATGGATAACATTGAGAAGAATGGGAATTCAGATCACTTAATTGTGCTCATGAGGAACCTGTACATAAACCATCATTCCAACAGAACAAGGGGATACTGCATGGGTTACAATCAGGAAGGGTGTGTTTAAGGGTTGTATCTTTTCACCATACTTGTTCAATCGGCATGCTGAGCAAATAATCCAAGAAGCTGGACTGTATGAAGAAGAGTGCGGCATCAGGATTGGAGGAGGACTCATTAACAACTATGACATGCAGATAACACAACTTTGCTTGCTGAAAGTGAGGATGACTTGAAGCACTTACTGATGAAGATTAAAGACCACAGCCTGCAGAATGGATTACATCTTAACATAAAACGAAAATCCTCACAACACATAAGAATCATGTTTGGTAAAGTGGAGGGTCAGCAAAAGAAGGGAAGACCACAACAAAATGGATTGACACAGTGGCTGCAATGATGGCCTCAGGTGTAGCAAGTATTGTGAGGCTGGCACAAGACTGGGCAGTGTTTTGTTCTGTTGTACATGGGATCGCTATGAGTCAGAGCTGACTCGACGGCACCTAACAACAACATGGTGTTTTGATTACTGTAGCTTTATAACATATTTTGGGATCAGCAAATGTGACTCTTTCTACTGTGTTCTTTTTCAGTTTGTTTTGATTATTTGGAGCCAATTACAGTTTCATATTAATTTGAGGACTGGCTTTTCTATTTATGCAAAGAAGGTTATTGGGTATTGCATTAAATCTATAGATTGCTTTAGATTTATTTAACTTTTGAAACATGGTAGACAGTAACATGAATTCATGTCTAGAGAAGTTCTTTTCTAGTTTCCAGATTCTCACTGCTATTCCCCTTCCAAAAAAAATTTCTTTTCAAGGGATGATTCCTGATGATTTCAGAATTATTTCTGTTCAACTTTCTTTTATGAAGAAACAATTTTTTCTGCTAAAGGACAACCTAATGTAAAAGTTGAGTGCTACATAAATATTTAGTGGGATTGAACTGCTGTCAAGAATCATTTGATGATTATTGGATGTGATATTTTTAAAAAAATCTTTCAATAGGTTCTTAGTGATCACAATTTAGAGATAGCACAACTACACGGATCAATAAGGGACTGGGAAATAAAGGTCGAAGAATTGAAGAAAATCTGTGAGATCTTGGAGGGTAAAGTGTAAGTCTGATACTTTACTTTTACTGTAGAATTTCTACATGTTAATATGTTATTTTATTTAAAAAAACATTTATTTAATAGTAAATGAAAATTATATTCTCTTAATTTATTAAATTATTATAAATTCACCTTTTCATTTTCAAATTTACCAGTCTTTCAGAGGAAGGAGCCTTAGTGGCTCAGTGGTTAATCACTTGACTGATAACTGAAAGGTCAGAGGTTTGAATCCACCAACCACTCCACTGGTGAAAAATGTGATTATCTGCTTTTGTAAAGATTACAGCCTTGGAATCCCTGTGTAGGCAGTTCTACTCTGTCCTGTAGGGTCACTATGAGATGGAATCAACTCAACAGCAACAAGTTTGGGTTTTGGTTTTTTGGGTGATCAAGAAAAAAAATTGAGAATTATATAGTCACCTGGGAAGAAGGGAGGGACTGTTTGGAATATATCATCTTCACTTCAGTTCCTGACTTCCCCCCACCTTTGTTTGCCAGTGGGGAAATGGTGTTGGCATAGATTTAATAGTATAACTACGACCCATCTACCATGCTGTTGTCAAGCTTAATAATGACCTCTATCCTACTAAACTGCAGTGGTCTATTCTATTCCGTAAAGTTCTGGAACTCTTATTAGAATTTGACAGAGTTGACCACTCCCACCTTTTCCAAATACTTTTTTCACTTGGCTTCCCAAACATCACATTCTCTTATTATTTCATCTGACAAGGGTTGTTCCTTTTCAGAATCCTTTGCTTGTTCCAATTCTTCTTTCTGATCTCTAAATTTTGACATTCTCAACTCTTCACTAAAGAAAGGTAATCCAATGGAATGTGGAAATTATTGAACAATGTCATTAATATTACATGAAAGTAAATTTTGCTGAAGATAATTCAAAAATGAGTGCAGCCATACATGGACAGGGAACTGCCAGAAATTCAAGCTATATTCAGAAGAGGACATGGAGATCCATTGTTTGCACACTTGGGGGCACTGAGGCCATCAGTCATTGCTGTCATTGCTGATGTCAAATGGATCTTGGCTGAAAGCAGAGAATACCAGAAAGATGTTTACCTGGGTTTTATTGATTATACAGTGACATTCAACTGTGTGCATTGTAACAAATTATGGATAACATTGCAAAGAATAGGAATTCCAGAACACTTAATTGTACTCATGTAGAATTTGCCCATAAATCAAGAAGCGGTTGTTTGAACAGAACAAGGGTATATACCTACTCCTTACTTGTCTACTATCTTGTTATCTGACATTTTGCATTTATGACAATAGTTAAAAATCTAATTAAAGCCAGATTAGGACCCATGTATTTTGAGTGAGTGCATGCCTCCCTCCTAAGACCCAAGTCCTTGATCCCTCCAATTCCACATCTCTCCCTAGTCTTAGATGTAAATAAAATTAAAAGAGAGGAACAAAAACAACAACAAAGGCCAGATTGAGGGCCCTTGAGCCATTAACCTGCATTTATGCAGGAGGCCTCACCAAATCCCAGCTGGGCCAATAGGCTGGTGGCTGCCCCGCTGTCATTGGAACAGAGCTGAGGCTTCAGTCTGCAAGTCTGCGAGAAGGTGGCAGAGGAGTGCACACAGGACATGTACTAGTCAGTTAACTACAGACCTGGAGATCCATTGTTTGCACACTTGGGGGCACTGGGGCCATCCGGCAGTGGTACCAGGTGGATAGACATTTCTGTGGAGAGCAAGAAGTCCATCTGGGTCAGGGTAGGGCAAAATCTTGACCCAATGAGCTCTGCTTGTGCTTTGAAATGGTATAAGCTGAACTGCCAGAGGTCATGAAGCAAAGATGAGTGACCTGTTGACATGGCTGTAGGGGACGGAGCCACTCTATGGCATCACTTCCAAAATGACTCCTGAAGCCTGAGGAGCATTTTGCACCAATTGTCCCATAATGACCTGGTCTTTGGAATCTAACCACGGGCAAGTGAGGAATGAGTGTACTCCATGATTTAAAATCAGAAAAGGTGTGTGTCAGGGTTGTATCCTCTCACTATATTTATTCAATCTGTATGCTGAGAAAATAAATAATCTAAGAAACTGGACTATATGAAGAAGAACACAGTGTCAGGAGTGGTGGAAGACTCTTTAATAACCTGTGCTATGCAGATGACACAACCTGGCTTGCTGAAAGTAAAGATGACTTGAAGTGCTTACTGTTGAAGATCAAAGACTACAGCTTTCAGTATTGATTACATCTCAACATAAAATAAAAATTCCTCACAACTGGACCAATAAGTAACCTTATGATAAGTGGAGATAATATTGAAATTGTCAAGGATTGTATTTTACTTGGCTCAACAATCAATGCCCATGGAAGCAGTAGTCAAGAAATCAAAGGACTTATCACATTAGGCAAATCTGCAAAATACCACTTTAAAACCTTCAAAAACCAAGATGTCACTTTGATGACTAAGGTACACTTGTCTCAAGCCATGGTATTTTCAGTCACCTCATATGCTTGCAAAAACTGGACAATGAAAAAGGAAGATGGAAGAGTTGATGCCTCTGAATTATGGTGTTGGCAAAGAATACTGAATACATAGAATTCCAGAAGAATGAGAAAATGTATCTTGGAAGAAGTACATCCAGAATACTCCTTAGAAGTAAGGATGGCAAGACTTCATTTCGCTTTGGGTATGTTATCAGGAAGGACCAATCCCTTAAATGGATATAATGCTTGATAAAGTAGAGGGTTAGTGAAAAAGAGGAAGATCCTCAATGAGATGAATTGACACAGTGGCTGCAACAAAGGGCTCAGTGATAACGACGATTGTGAGGATGATGCAGAACCAGGCAAAGTTTCGTTCTGTTATTCACTGAGTTGCTGTGAGTCAGAGCCGACTCGATGGCACCTAACAATAATAAAAGCACTTCACTATTGTCTCTTGACACTCTATATGTGATTTCTTCTAGTCACCTGTTTAAATACATTTTGTACCCCCCAAACTCCAACATGTGTATATCCAGCCCTGAGCTCTAAATGCATATACCCTACAGCTTACTTGATTCACTCATTTGGAAGATATTTAACTGCTATCTCAAACTAACACATCCTAAATAGAACCCTTCATTTCTCACATCCCTGAGTTTTTTTTTCCAGACTTTTCTATTTTACCTAATGTGCTACCACCATTCATCTAGTTACTCAAGCCAAAAGCCTAGGAATCATCCATCATTTCCTAACCTAACTCTACAACAAACAAAACAACGCAAGCATTGCCATGGAGTCGGATCCGACCCATAGCGACCCCTCCTTGGGTTTCCGAGGCAGTATCACTACGGAAGTAGATTGCCCAACCTTCCTTCCGGGGAGTGGCTGGTGGGTTTGAACCACCAGCCTTCTAGTTAGCAGTCAAATGCCTTAGGCACTATGCTACCAGAGCTCCCAACCTAACTCTAACTCCAACTAAATCCAAAGGCAAGTTCTGTTTTCTTCATCTTCAAAATATATCCTGAATGCAGCTGTTACTCACCATCTCCACCACTGAAACTTTAGACTGAGCCACTGTTATATCTCCTGGACCACTGTTATAGCCTTCTACAAAATCTGACCTCCTCTACTATTGTCTGTCTCCACAAAGTATCCAGAGTGACATTTGCAAGATATAAAGCAGTCCGTGTCACTTCTCTGCTTAGACATCTTGTGCTAGTTCACTCAGAATGAGATCTGAACACCTACCTTGCCCTCAAGATCCTACATGACCTCAGCCCTGTCTACCCTCCAGCCTCAACATCCTCCTTTCTTTCTCACACACAAAAAGCTTGTTCCTGTCTGAGGGTCTTAACCCCTGTTGTTCATTCTTCCTGAGAAGCTCTTACCCCAGATCTTCACATAGCTGGCTCCTTTTCTTCATTCGGGTCTGTTTGCAAGTCTTCCCTCGCCACCTGTCTAAAGTAGCACCTTTGCTGCCATGCCAGTAGTTCTCTATTCCTTACCCTACTTTGAAGTTCTTTGGAGCATTTAACATTATCTGCAATACGTTATTGATTTTCTAGTAACTTGCTTATGTTCTAACTCCTCCATTAGGACATAATTTCCGTGAGGGTTGGGATTTTGTCTACAGTATATACCTAGTACCGAGATTCTATCTGGCAGAGAGTAGGTGCTCAGTAATTGAAATGAATAAATAAATGATGTATTTATTCATCAATTCAAAAGAGTTAAAAAATTATTTAAAGAGATATATAAATAAATATGTTACTTGAGGAGGTGGAAGCTGAACATTTCTGGTGTTATAAATAAATGTGACTTTGCTGAAAATATGTCCTAATATTAATCTATTTGGCTTCCTTTGCTATAGACTTTTTTTTTCAAGTCATAAGGAGAAACTGAATGATGTATCTAGTTATGAAAAAGAGGAATTTACACAGAAAATAAAACAGGTAGGAAGACAGAAAGATGGTTTTTAGACTATAACTAGATTTTATTTTAAAATGAGTGTTTTAAATATAGCTGAGAAGTGTGAAATTTTCCAAAAGTAGTTTTTTAATTGGGAGCTCTGGTAGCATAGTGCCTAAGGCACTTGACTGCTAACCAGAAGGCTGGTGGTTCAAACCCACCAGCCACTCCTCGGAAGGAAGGTTGGGCAATCTTCCGTAGTGATACCACCTCAGAAACCCAAGGAGGGGTCGATATTAGTCAGATCTGACTCCACGGCAGTGTGTGGGGATTTTGGTTTGGGGATCTGCCAGCATTAGGAATGGTTTTCCTTCGGAGCTAAGCTTACTCTGATTTTTTTTAATTGCAAGATGTAAGGCACAGGATACCAAAAGACAGAAACCTAATAGGGTTGGTTGATTGGTTGGTTGGTTTTAAATCATCTTTCATTGGTCAAAGAATTTTTTACTTTCCATTTATTCCCCATTGTAGAAACTGTTAGGTAGCCTTCAGTTGATGGCTCTATAGTTTTCAGCCGTCATAACTATCTGAACAGCCCAGGACCTCTAAGCTGGATGACTGACTTGATCAAAGAGGCAAATGTAAAAGGTTCTCTTCAATCTGCAACTCATAGCAAGTTCTGTCGGTACAGCTTAGTGACTGCTTCAACAAGGCAAGATTCTGATTCATTTATTATTTCCACTATGGCAGAGACTATGGGCTCTCATGAATCACTGGGCAGTTTCAATGGTGGCATTAAATTCCTTTCTAACTTTTAAAGAACTTTTTATTGTAAAATATTACTCAAATACAGAATAGTACTTACACTCTAAATTTACAGTATTTATGTACATACCTGTCACACTCTCTGCTTAAACTTTTTACTCTGTTAATAGTGTCTTTTGGTGATTGTAATTTACTAACTTTATTGAAGTCCAGTTTATTTTGGTTACTGTAGATTTCAACTGGTCATTTTATTTGGTACCTTTTCAAATTGGTTATGCCACTCTTTATTGTTACCAGTTTCCTGCTGTATCAATAAATGTCCTTAGGACAAAAGAGATTTTGAGGGCTTTGGGTTCTTGCTTTCTCCTATAATTAGGCTTAATACTTCCTCATTATCTTGTTAGTTCTTCAACACTTTTAAGAAGATTTTTTGTTGTTGTTGTTAATCCAGCTATTTTAGTGGTCCTCAGCCAATAGGTTATGTAGAACTACCCAACACACCATTCCTACTAAACCTAACTTTCTTATCTAATTTGAATCAACTCAGTGGAGGCCAAACCAAAAATCCAAACTCACTGCCAAGTCGGATCTGGCTCATAGTGGCCCCTCCTTGGGTTTCCGAGGTGGGATCACTACGGAAGCAGATTGCCCAATCTTCCTTCTGAGGAGTGGCTGGTGGGTTTGAACCGCCAGCAGTACACCACCAGAGCGCCTTCAGTGGAGGCATCCAAGCACAAAATTATTACCTCATTCAGAACACTGATTGGTACTATTTTGTATACTTAAATAGAAATATTAATATGAAGCTAGCGTAGTGCCTAGTTAATGAGGTTTTGAGCAAGATCCTCTATTGCTGTTACATTTGTTTCCCCCTGTGTATTTTATCTTCTGGGAAAATTCACACAGATCTTGTTGAGTATTACAGTTTATTAATCCCATTTCTTTTGCAATTTAGATTATTTACTCAATGGTTTTTGTATCAGTGGTTACTATCTTTTTATACTTTTGGCATTACAGTTTATAGAAGAGGCCTCAAAATGTGCATTGGTATATTTTATATAGAATTAAATAATTCAACATTTATGGCATATTTCTGTGTACTCAGAGATATATCCAGTGCTACAGAGAGTTCCCCCACCTGACCTTGACTTTTCTCAAAAGGACTGTGAAGCAGTCTTCTTATTTAACACTTGTTTTTCTCTAGGTGTCTGAAAAACTGTACAAAACTCGTATAGAGAATAAGGAGCTACGAGACAAACTAACTATTCTTACCAGACAATATAAGATTGTCCTAAGTGAAGAGGATGAAATGTTTTTAAGGAAACAAAAGATCCAGGATGAGTATGTTTCTATCCGTGATTCGTGTATGTAAATCAACATGCTATAGTTAGAGAATGATTTCCTTACTGTTCAACATGGTGACTCCCACTTAAGTTTATGCTACTTTGGAAATCTACTGATAGCATGGAATAATCTTTTCTCAACAATAAATAAACATTCCCTTAATCTGACCTTATAGGCATTAAGTAATGATTTCCTCATCAAAATCATCAGATATCTAAAACCAAATGCAGTAATTTTGTTTCTAAACACATTCTTGAAAGAATAATTGTGCTTTTACTATTTGACATTTAATCTTCATGAATTGCCAATAGTTCCAAGTTACGCGCAACAAAGAAAATTTGGTCAGAATAAGGAAAACCAGATTTGAAAGGTAATGAAAAATGTACTTCATCAAATATGTTTTAGCACTTAATATGATGGCTACTACTATGTTCTTACTACTAGGTCCTTATAAGAGCAGGTTCAAAATAATAACACTCATATATTTGTTACAGATTGAATTGCAAACCAAAAAAATATGTGTTGTAAATCCTAGCTCTGGTAGCATAGTGCCTAAGGCATCTGACCACTAACTAGAAGGCTGGTGGGTTTGAACCACCAGCCACTCCTTGGAAGGAAGATTGGGCAATCTACTTCCATAGAGGTACTACCTCAGAAACCCAAGGGGGGTCACAATGAGTGGAATTGACTTGACGGCAGTGAGTTTTTTTTTTTTTTTTTTTTTTTTCTTGTTATACCTGTGGTTATAATCCCATTTGGGAATGGGATGCCTTTGCTATATTAGTGGGACAGGATTAATGTAGTATATGTTTTGAGTCAATCTCTTTTTACATGTGAAAGAGATTAAGCAAGCAAGCAAGTGAACAAAGATGAGGTAAGATAGCTGCCAAGACACATGAAGATCTGTGAGGAAGATAATTTAAAAATAGTTGCAGCAGTATATTGACATGGAACTTCCAGAGATGCAAGCTGGATTCAGAAGAGGACGTGGAACGAGGGATATCTTTGCTGATGTCTGATGAATCTTGGCCAAAAGCAAAGAATACCAGAAAGATGTTTACTTGTGTTTTATTGACTATGCAAAAGCATTCAACTGCATGGATCATAACAAATTATGGATAACATTGAGAAGAATGGGAATTCCAGGACACTAATTGTGCTCATTTGGAACCTGTACATAAATCAGCAGGCTGTCATTCAAACGGAACATGGGGATACTGCATGGTTTAAAATCAGGAAGGGTGTGTGTAAGGGTTGTATCTTTTCACCATGTTTATTCAATCTGTATGCTGAGCAAATAGTCCGAGAAGATGGACTATATGAAGAAGAGTGTGGCGTCAGGATTGGGGGAAGACTCATTAACAATCTGCATTATGCTGATGATACAACTTGTTTGCTAAAAGTGAAGATGACTGGAAACACTTAATGATGAAGATTAAGACTACAGTCTGCAGTACAGATAATACCTCAATATAAAGAAAATGAAAATCCTCACAACTGGACCAATAAGCAGAATCATGATAAATGGAGAAGACTGAAGTTGTCAAAGATGTAATTTTACTTGGATCCACAATTAATACCCGAGGAAGCAACAATCAAGAAATCAGGTGTCATATTCCACTGGGTAAATCTGATGCAAAAGACCTCTTTATAGTGTTGAAGAGCAAAGATGTTACTTCGAAGACTAAAGTGAGCCTAACCCAAGCCATGGTATTTTCAATCACCTCCTAGGCATGGAAAGCTGGACAATGAGTAAGGAAGACCGAAGAAGAGTTGGGGCTTTTGAATTGTGGTGTTGGTGAAGAATATGGAAAATACCATGAACTGCCAGAAGAATGAACAAATCTGTCCTGGAAGAAGTACAGCCAGAATGCTCCTTGGAGGTGTGAATGACCTGACTTCATCTCACCTACTTTGGTCATGTTGTCAGAAGGAACAATTCCCTAGAGGAGGATATCGTGTTCGGTAAAGTGGAGGGTCAACGAAAGAGGAGAAGGCCCTCAACAAGATGGACTGACACAGTGGCTGCAACGATGGGCTTGCAACAGCAAGGATTGTGAGGCTGACACAGGAGTGGGCAGTGTTTCGTTCTGTTGTACGTAGGGTTGCTATGAGTTGGAGCTAACTTTACAGCATCTAACAACATCAGCAGTTATTTGCAATTAGCTACTTTCTACCATTGCCCTTTAAAAATTCTGAGCATAACTTTTCACAGAACTGTCTTTATCATGAGTTTTTAGTTTCTGGGAAGGGTTAAGTATTTATCAGAGTTTCTAGGAAGGGTTACGATTTTATCATAAGTTTCTGAGAAGGGTTAAGCCTGAGATCAAACAGCTGCCTTTACAAGAGGTTCTGTTTCTCTCTTTTAACACAAGTGTAAAATTTTATGAGTAATAATCTATTACTACACTGATTTATTCCTTAAAACTAGATGAGAAAGGTATTGTGATACCCATTTTATAGGCACATCCACAGGTAAGGTTTCTTATCCAAAGTCCCACTGCTAGTAAGAGGAAGAGCCTGTGTGCAGACTTGATCTGAATCCTTCATCCTTCCCAAAAGAACATGACAAAATGGATGCATGTGTTAGGAGAGGCCTGCCCACTTGGAGGGATTGGATGCTAGAACTGTTGTTTTTTGGTGGGTATTGTTTTGTGATTACTGTCGCAGTTAATGTCGTTTCTATGACTTGGAAGTTTTATAATATTATGAAAATTATATGCATATGTTTAGATTCAGCTGCTACCAGAAAAAAATACTTTGTTTATTTACTCATTTTTTGGGGGCCAGATGACTGACTGAACTTTCCACACTACTTCTTAAATTCTTATCTATGCTTTTGCATATTTTCTCACACTAAAGAGTTAAAAATGATTATTTCAACATCCAACATACGATAACCCTGCTTTTTTTGTTTTTTCCCTTCATGGCAGAAATCAGAAACAACTGGAATTTATTGCTCAAAAAGAAACCTTCCTAGCACAAAGAAAAGTAGACATCAAAAACATGGAGGAAGGACTCACCACACTGCAAGAACTTATTGAGTATGTTTGCTACCTTTGGAATCTTTATTCTTCTCTGCATATATTTTTCAATAAATGACAGCAATAAGTCTATGTCAATTTCTGATGTACTGCAGAAAAAAGAAGTTTATAATTTGCTTTCTGTTTCACAATCCAAAAAAGTCATTACCATTGATTCTTTCATTGAAGGGATAGACAGGTACCGTGTTCTATGTGAGCTATTTGGCACAAGGAATGGACAAGGTGGTGGGCAGGGGGGTTGTCTAGTGATAAGTATGTGCCTGAATATTAGCACAACACTCACTGCTTATGTGTTCATTTCTGCAATTCTAAATCACTTTCATTTTTATTTTAACTTTTTTTTCTGATTATAAAAATAATGCTATGTCATATTTTAAAATTCAAATACAAGAATAGGTAACTTAGTGAGTAAATGTGTGTGAGAATGGATCTAGATACAGATATTCTTCTAAATTGGATTTTACTCTTCTATAACTGGATATTTTCTATAACTTAAAATTATATCTGGGAGAATTATAAAACAAATATTATATAGCATTTTATCTTAGAAAATTAACAGAGATACTCAAGTTTATCATGCATAAACTCATTTAGTTTTTACAAGGTAGTCGTGGCAAGGCTGCAAGCAAGACTTCACAACATTCATTCAGAAAAAGAGGATCAGAATCAACACTTACAAATACAATGTTAGTTCAACGGTTAGAGTCTCAATCTTTAGACTTAAGGCTTTTACCTTTAACAAGAGGTTTTGAGGGAAAGGCTTGACCACAGCTTAAATCTGTGGGGATCCCTGGTAGCTTGGATCCAGAGTCAGTGGCAGTGGGCTGTGTCAGCAGGGTTTTGGTCTTCAGAGACAGTGAGTAAGAGACTAGAAAAATATTCCTTTGCTTCTGTCTTCTCTCAGTGAATGAACAGAAATTTAGGGCTTATATGTGAAATTCTCACCATGGCCTCACACAAAAGAGGGCCAGTGTGACTTCAAAGATTAGTATGTCTTTTCTCCAGTGTTAGAGATTAACCAAATCTCTCTCTCTCTCTCTCTCTTTTTTCTCTCACATTATTGAATAGGGAAGTTATTTATGTCTCAAGGCTAGTTGACAAAGATTAACTATGTTATGTTTTCTGTTATCACAACATGCCAGGTCATGGTCAACTTAATTTAAAGGTTTTCATTCTTCACATACGTCAGGTGCTTCTTTGTCTAAACTCAAAAGTTTTCTAAATAACTTTCTAATGACTTACATTTTCCTAATCATTTATAGTTAATGTTAGAGAGCCTCACAAAGGCAGACATATTTCTAAGTTTATGAGTGATTATACATATGTAATTTGGAAACATAATAGTGACTTATACCTTATGGTATAAGGAGCTCTGGTGGTATAGTGGGTAAGACATTTGGCTGCTAACCACAAGGTCAGCAGTTCAAACCCACTAGCCACTTCATGGAAGAAAGATGAGGCAATCTACTTACGTAAAGAGTTACAGCCTTGGAAACCCAGTGGGGTCATTATGAGTCAGAATCAACTCGATGGCAGTGATTTTTTTTTTTTTAAATACCTTATGGGATTTGAGGGTAGCATTGTGCCTAGGGCACTTGACTGCTAACCAGAAGGCTGGCGGTTCAAAGCCACCAGCCACTCCTCAGAAGGAATATTGGGCAATCTACTTCCATAGTGATACCGCCTCAGAAACCCAAGGAGGGGTTGCTATGAGTCGGATCCAACTCCACGGCAGTGAGTGAGTGAATGAGATAGAAACATGCCGAGCCTATGGCACAGTGGTAGCATTTGGAAAAGTTGGCGAAGGGTGTGTATATGGGAATTCTTTGTATTATTTTTACAACTTTTCTGTTGAGTTTGAAACTTTCAAAAAAATTTTAAATCATATATTTAGGATGTATTTCCTCATTATTTTCTCCAACTGAACAATATTTCTTTCATAGGTTATACTATGTCTTATTTATTCAGTACTCCATTGATGGACATTTAGTGTTTTTTCCAGTTTTCCTGTATTACAATTTTTGAAGTTAACATCATTTAACATATATCTATCCATCTATGTGACTATTTTTTAATAATAAAATCATGACAGTTGGGTTACAGGAAGCACATATTTTTCATTTTTATAATTATTGTCAAAATTCCCTGCTTAAATGTTCTGCCATTTTACAGTCCCACTAATAGCATAAGGCAACTTATAGTTAAGTTGGGCAGATGAGGTAGACTAATACACATAAAATAATTAATGGACCATGTATAAATGTGCAGAATAAAGTGTAGACTATAATAAGCATTCAGAGAAGAATGAGGGAAAGTGAAGTCAAGGTGTCCTTCTTTCTTATATAAGGATTTAAACTTTGAACTTGACCTTTAAAAGGAAGTCAGATTTTTTTTCTGTTTGCTCATCAATAGGGAAATGTTAACACATACAGGGAGATACATGATTTGGATGTAGGAAAGTGAAGATACCAGTCTTACTGAACTAAGATAATGACAAAAAAAATTTGAGCACATACCAACAAAAATCTAGAGTATAGGGTCTTTGAGTGGTTATCCTTATACAATTAAATACTATATTTAAACATCTCTTTCTTTCATGTCAGCTTCAGAAATGAAACTACTTACTCCTCCCTATGAAAGATTAGGAAAAGAAGATCAGGTTGAATAGAAGTTTATTTTCCTGAAGAACAATGCAAATGTTGTGATAAATTATAGTGTCATCATTGCTGTGGTCACCAGGAAGCTCATAGCTAGATTTATGGCCCAATATTGGTACTCATTTGGAATTTTTTAGATTAGTGTTGCTCTCTTTATTTTAAATAAGTTCAGATCCTCTATGGTTTATAAAAATATATAAATAAGCCAAATCCATAAGGTTGGGGCAAATTGTGAAGAACCTTAGAGACCCAGGGGAGGATATTAGATTTACTATGATAGGAAATTGAGATCCTATACAATGATTTCAAATAGAAAAAGACAATAAGAGCACAGTTTCATTTCTGGTTTATTTAACAGTGGTTGATATTATGAATTTCATCCTTGAACATTTCTTTCAAAAAGTATTAATTATGTAGTATTTTACTTATGTGACCTTCAATTTATTTCTGTGATTGAAGCACTTAATAGAGAAAAAAAAAAGTTTGTGCTGGGGGAGTAAAAATAAAGGCTTCCGATACCTCTGCTGGAATCTTCACATTTCCATCCCTTCTACCTCAAAAAAATTTTTTATCCTTTATTATTATTCTTCTCTAATTCAAGAATCCATATTAGGTCTTTGAATGACATATTGTACCAAATCAGAACTCAATCTCGAATTCAGAGTTCCTCAACAATTTGCTGACGGTTGTTGTTGTTAAGTGCTGGCAAGTTGATTTCAATTCATAGTGACCCTATGTACAACAGAACAAAACTGCACCATCCTCACAGTTGTTGGTATACTCAGCCTGTTGTCACAGCCACTGTGTCAATCCATCTTGTTGAGGGTCTTCCCCTTTGTCACTGTCCCTCTACCCAGCATGATATCCTTCTCCAGGGACTCCTCCCTTTGACATGATCAGAGTATTAGAGACAAAGTCTGGCCATTCTCGGTTCTAAGGAGCATTCCCGTTGTCCTTCCTCCAAGACGATTTATTCATTCTTCTAGCAGTCCATGATATGTTCAATATTTGCCAATGCCACAATGCCAGTGCATCAATTCTTATGTTGTTGTTAGGTGCAGTTGAGTTGGCTCTGACTCATAGTGACCCCATGTACAACAGAACCAAACACTGCCCGGTCTTGCACCAGCCTCACAATCAATGCATGCTCTACCTGAGCCCATCATTGCACTACTGTGTCAATCCATCTTATTGAGGGCCTTCCCCTTTTTCACTGACCCTCTTCTTCACCAAGCATAAGATCCTTCTCCAGGGAATGGTCCCTTCTAACAATGTGACTAAAGTAGTTGACATGAAGTCTGGCCATTCTCGCTTCCAAGGAACATTCCGGCTGCACTTCCCCCAGGACAGATTTGTTAGTTCTTTTAGTAGTCCACAGTACTTTCAGTATTCTTCACCAACACCACAACTCAAAAGCATCAACTCTTCTACCTTTTTCATTCTCCATGGCTTAGGTCAGGGGCACCTCGGTCTTCAAAGGGACATCATTGCTCTTAAACACTTTAGAGAGGTCTTTCGAAGTAGATTTGCCCAATGCAATATGTCATTTGATTTCTTGATGGCTGCTTCCATAGGCGTAGATTGTGGATCCAAGTAAAATGAAATCTTTCACAACTTCAGTCTTTTCTCCATTTATCATGATGTTGCTTATTGATCCAGTTGTGAGGATTTTTACTTTCTATGTTGAGGTATAATCCTGAGGACTGTAGTCTTTGATCTTCAATACTGTTAATATCATGGTGTTCTTTTTTCCCTTCATGTCCTCTGTATGTAGCAAGCCTACCTTGTGTCACAATACAGCCATGATTTGTTCCTTTCCTCTATGTCTTTACAAATGATTATGTCTTTTCCTTGGTAAGATTGCTCCTCCATTCTGCAAATCCACCTTCCTCCTTTCTATTAAATATTCACCTACAGTAATCCTTCTACACTAGCTTCCCTAGAATCTGTTCTTCTCTATCCTTGGATATCCAGATGCATAGACATGGGATTGTAATTGTCTTTCTGTCACTAAAATGTTTAGGTGTTTCACAAGATTTCTTTTGTGTTCTAATTAAACTGTAGCCTAATTGAGAATAAGAATTATATGGAAAGAATCTTTTATATATTCTAACAGTTCCCACAAATGCAAAGTCCTAATATATTTTTCTTGTTTTTAGAACAACACGGGAAATATATCAGAAGCAAATAAAAAACCTGGCTGATAATCTGGAAAGAGAGAGTCAGAGATGGTAAAAAATAAAAATAATAATAATAAATATATATATGTAATATATATATATATATCTATATCTATATATACACACACACATATATTTGTGTTATGAGTAAGTAATATATGTAATCTTAATGAGCAGTGCCTCAGAGTTGGTAAAAAAATAAAATTTACTAGCATCTAAAGAAATTATTTTCCTAAATTAAATTGTGTGACTTCTCTTGACTTTAGATATGTTTAGTAGTTTGATATTTTGGCATTGAAGTGAACGAAAATTTTCAGTTTCAATGAGTGTAGTCACCAAAGAATAAAATTGCCAACATTGGGAGATGCCTCTTGCTCACCCAGTCTTCTTTATGAACCAGTAGGGTGGGCGATGTGTGCTGTAGACAGAAGAGAGTAGTTGAAAGCACAGGTTCTGTGCCTGAGGGTGAGTTATGAAGTAACTTCCCTTTGCTCTCATCCCTATGAAGAGAGGGATGATAGTGGAACCTACCTCACAAGGTTGTTGTGAGCGGTAAAGTTGAAGGATCCAGGGAGCGTATTTATATCAGCTAACACCTAGAAAGCACACTAAAAGTTAGCTGCTTTTTGTTGTTATTTACAAAACTCTGATGGTACATTTTCACTATTCTCCAATTAGGTAGCTTTTTTTTTTTTTTTTTTTTAATGTTATGTTGGTGAGAAAAATTTGAAAACCCAGAAGCCTGCGATCTCTGATTAGCACTTCTGGTAGTTTAGTAATTCAATGGCTATTTCTTCCTGGGCCTCTTCTTTTTCCACGTGCCCCTCAGCCTTCCCTTTTTCTGCCCTTTACTTAAAGGAGGGAACAGGCATGTGTGGTTTGTCCACTTGGTTTTACCAGACATATGGACTCACCACTTCTGACTCAGAGGCTGACCTGCAGAGACAGTGTTGAGGCCCTGACATCTTGTCTTACTTGGTTTTCTTTTCAGTTAATGTGCGTAGTTTACATTACTAAGAGCACAAACAGTTTTGTATCATCTTACCAGGACTTGTTTGACTTTGGCTTCCTTCATGTTTTCAGTTAACTGCTATACCAATTTAATTGTCATTATTGTGTTCTATTCCCTAGTATTATAACTCAGTGGAAAATGGCTTGTTTGCTAAAAAAGCATAAGCGTTGGGTGGACATGATGAAGGCTGAAATACAACAACTTACTAATACAATTGAGGTTTTACAATGTAGAAGACATGAATTATGTGAAGAGGTAAGGGAACTTGAAGTACTCAGAATTAATACCTTACAGTGCATTAGAGTAATTCCCCTTCAATTTTTAATTGAACCTTATCTTATTAAAAGGTATTTTCTTTTCCGCTGACTTCATATTTAGAGTGAATTATTTAACTTTCTTAAGACATGCATCCATTTGCTGTGTATTAACTATGGGAAGTTAAGAAGTGAAGTAGAATTCTCTTCAGAATATACTTTTGAACCATGCAACCAGAAACTTATTTGAGGTTAGTCTTTAGGAAGAGTATCTCTAAAAATATTAGACCAAACATCACATATTTACCTCCTCTATTTACCCTCTTCCTCTCCTTCACCCTCCCATCTTTCAGGCCATATTTATAGATACTGTTTGATGAAAAACTTAATCTCTAGATGAAAACAAAGTCCCTCTCAGTGGTTATCAAGAAATTATATAATCTGAATTCAGAGACAAGTGTCATGCAAAGAGACATTTCTTTACCAGGTTGTTTGAAAATATAAAGTGGAACTCTACAAAAGAAGTGACAATTTGTTATTTTTTTCTAATTAGACCAGTTACAGAGAAGAACAGATCAATACATTTGTGGCACAGATTGAAAAACTTACAATGGAATTAAAACAAGAAGAGGAGGAATTTGTTTACAAGGAAAAACAGCTAATTGATGAGATAAACAACTATGAGGTAAACTTTATTTTACATCTAGGAATAATTTTAGATGGCTGTATGAAGGGGAAGGAGAATAACTGATATTGAATGTTATTCCAATCAGTTGAATGTAAAATGAGGCTGTAATATCATTCTGAATCTTTCAGTGTACCTGACTAAAAAAAAAAAAAAAAAGGTTGCCGTCAATCAATTACAACTCCTAGCAACCCTATGAAACAGACTAGAACTGCCACATAGGGTTTCTAAGGTTGTAATTTTCATGGAGAGGAGCCCTGGTGGTTGGTAGTGCAGAGGTTAAGTGCTCAGCTGCTAACCAAAAGAGTTTGGTGGTTTGAACCCACCAGTTGCTCCGCTCGGAAACTGGTTCAAACCACCGACCTCTTTTTTTTTTTTTTTTTCAAAAAAGATGTAGCAGTCTGCTTCCGTAATGATTATATAGCCTTGAAAACCCTGTGGGACAGTTCTGCTCTGTCCTACAGGGTCGCTATGAGCTGGAATTGACTTGATGCACACAGCAACAACCTTGGACTAACATTCTGGCTCTGTACTAGACGCCTGATGAAAGTGAACTATCAGCTGCATTATCAGTTAACATTGTCTGTATAACAATGACCCCTGATTGGAACATGCCTGTTCACTGGGAGAGTAACTGGTGGGAAATCATTACATTGACCCTTTTCGGAGGGCATGTCCTTTGCAGGCACCTGGAAAGTATGCCCAAGAGGTATTGATTTCTATTCAGGCATGGGGCTTCTCTATCAGGGAGGCCTGTGTGGGTCTTTCTCTCGCAACTGAGTTATCACTTTGATGGATTTTAAAAAAAAAAAAAATACAACCTGGCCTTTGTCTGCTGCATCAATGCCTTGAAGACTCCTCCTGGCTCCTTGAGCCTGGCGCTGCCCTACCCACTGATGTGATGTTTTCTTTGAAGGATGAATATACAGTTTGAATAAAAATAAAAACTAAAAAGAAAAGTCTCAAATTGCTAATTGGGTCAAATGTGGCCTATTCAAGTGTTACAAGTCTGAATATCAAGGTGAGAAGGTCCATAAAATGGGTGTTAAAGCAAGAGAGGTGTTTGTTTCTCTTTCCAGTACAGGCCAAACCAAAGAGGCCCAGAGCTGAGAAGTGGCTCTGCCATCCTCAGATTTTAGCTGCTATCTTGGGGACCAAGTGGCAACTTCTATTTTCATCCTCTTACAGCCAAGAGGAGGAGGAAAGGGCACAGGGAGCACATACCCATTCCTGTTGCAGGGGCAGGACCCAGTAGCGGCACAGCCACTTCTGCTTGTAAACTCATTAGATGCACGCATCTGCAAGGGAGGCTGAGAAATGAAACTCCAGTTGGCAGTCACTTGCTTAGCCAAAACTCGGGAGTTCTGATATTAAAGAAGAGGGTAACAGATATTGATAGTCAGCTGGCTGCCTCTGCCTTAGTCACTATTTTAAACACATCCTGATTTTTTAAAAGATGGCCAACTCTTCCACTGGAAACAAAATACAACTTGAGTTGAGAAATTAAACAAGCATCTTCATGTTTTGCTCTATATACTTTTTAACCTATTTATTGTGACATTATATTCAATTATTTCTGCCTCCTCTGCATTTCTTAGAATTTGTGTATATTCTGTTTTTTGGCCCTTTTTTCCATAAAATATGATCAGCCAAAGGTAATTCTCTCAAATATGTTTTTGGGGTGCATATGTGGTAACATTATTCAAATGATAATAACAGAATTATATAGAGGTAGAAGAGTCTTTGGAGGGCCAATTGAACCTAATATCCTTACTTAAAGATGGCTAGAGAATTAGTGAATCAGCCAACAAATGTCTATTAACCACGTACTATGTGCCAGATGGAGTCCCTGAGTGGTGTAAACAGTTAAGTGCTTGACTTTTCACTAAAAGATTGGCAGTTCGAATCCACCCAGAAGTGCCTCAAAAGAAAGATCTGGCAATCGACTTCTGAAAAATCAGCTGTTGACACCCTCAGAGCACAGTTCTGTCCTGACACACACAGAGCTATCATGAGTCAGCATCAACCCTACAGCTCCTGGATATTTTTGTTTGTTTGATGTGCCACATGCCTTTCTAAGCTCCTCAGGATACAAAGAGGACAGGACAGAGAGAGCTCTTCCCCTCAAATAACTCACATTCTTCTCTAGAGTGTTTTGTAAATTCTCAGGAAAAAAAAAAAAAAAAAACAACTCACAATTAATTTTATTTTCCTTAAAGGATCAATTTTCCAAGGAAGTAAAAATTAACAAAAAAAAGGAAGAAGAGCTAGATGAGTGTCTTCCACAACTTCATGAGGCAGAAGAAATATATTTGGAAAAACACAGAAGGTTAGAAGAGCTTCTTAAAATTATTGCAGGTACATATAAAGTACTTAGCAATTGACCTCAATCCCTTGTGAGGATTTCACCATTGTCTCCTAATAAACCAAAGAAAAGCTAACTCACTGCCATTGAGTTGATTCCAACTCATAGAGACCCCGATTGAGTTTCCAAGGCTCTAGATCTTTACAGAAGCAGACTGTCTCATCTTCCTTCCACAGAGCAGATGGTGGGTTTGAACCACTAAATTCTGGTTAGCAGCCAGATGCCTCAACCACTACACCACCAGAGCTCCTGTTTTCTAATAAAAGCAGGTCATCAATCTAAAAGCCAATGGTAAACTTCATCCAACTTTTTCCATTACCTGTCACTCCTCATTTTCCAATTGTGCTTCATCTATTAATTTTCTTCCCCCTATACCACAGTCTGGGAGTTCGGGTGGCGTAGTGCGTAAGGCATTTGACTGCTAACCAAAAGGCTGGTGGTTCAAACCCACCAGCCACTCCTCAGAAGGAAGGTGGGCAATCTACTATCCGTAGTGATACTGCCTTGGAAACCCAAGGAGGAGTCACAGTGAATTGGATCCAATTCGATGGCGGTGAGTTTGGTTTTGGTTTATACCAGTCTTATTGCTATCATAAATTCTTTTTCTTTTCTCTTTTAATATCTGTTTAAAATTGAGAGTAAGTATCTAGGGTTTCCAAGGCTTCAATCTTTAATACAACACACTGCCGTTGAATCAGATCTAACTCATAGCAACCCCTCCTTGGGTTTCCGAGGCGGTATCACTATGGAAGTAGATTGCCTACCTTCCTTCCAAGGAGTGGCTGGTGGGTTTGAACCGCCACCCTTCTGGTTAGCAGTCAGATGCCTGAGGCACTACATCACCAGAGCTCCTTCAGAGTGGCTAGTGGGTTGGAATCACTGACCTTTTGGTTAGCAGTCGTGCATGTAACCACTATGCCACCAGGACCCCTTATGGAATCGATAGTTTATCTAATATGTATGACCACTTGGGATATAATATTCAGAAAGATTTTACATGTCTTTTGTAGAGTTTGGTATGAATTAATATGGACTGACATAGCGGCTGCAACAATGGGCTCAGACATAACAACCATTATGAGGAAGTGCAAGACTGGGCATTTCACTGGTCACTATCAGTCAGAATCCATTCGAGGGCACCTAACAACAACACAGGGAAAACTAAGCAAATGAGAAAGAAAAAAAAAGGTCCTTTATAAAAGAAAAAAAATTACACACGGAAGAAAATATAATTGTGCTATACCATTTAGCTCATCAGTGAGTAATATATTTTTTAATAATCAAAACAGTTAAAATAGATTTAAACAAATCCTACAAGTTTATGGGGAGGTTGCTGTTGTCTCGGCTCTGACTCGCAGTGACCTTATATGCAACAGAACCAAACACTGCCCAGTCCTTCGCTAGCCTCAAAATCTTTGCTGTCTTTGAGCCCATCATTGCAGCCACTGTGTCAGTCCATCTCATTGATGCCCTTCTCCTTCTTCCCTGGCCCTCTACTTTACCAAGCATGATATCCTTCTCCAGGGAAAGGTCCCTTCTGACAACATGACCAAAGTAAATGAGATGAAATCTGGCCATTCTCACTTCCAAGGAGCATTCCTGCTGTACTTCTTCCAGGACAGATTTGTTCATTCTTCTGGCAGTCCATGGTATTTTCAGTATTCTTTGCCAACTCCACAATTCGAAGCATCAACTCTTTTTCTGTCTTCCTTTTCATTATCCAGCTTTCACAAGTATATGAGGCAATTGGAAATATACTATGGCTTGGGGTCAGGCTCATCTTAGTCTTCAAAGTGGCATCTTTGCTTCTTAACACTTTAAAGAAGTCTTTTGCAGCAGATTTGCCCAGTGCAATATGACTGATTTCCTGACTGTTGCTTCTACGTTGACTGTGGATCCAACTAAAATGAAATCCCTGACAACTTCAATCTTTTCTCCATTTATTATGATGTTGCTTATCGGTCCAGTTGTGAAGATTTTCATTTTATTTTTGTTGAGCTGTATTCTGTACTGAAGACTATATTCTTTGATCTTCATCAGTAAGTGCTTCAAGTCTTCTTCATTTCCAGCAAGCAAGGTTGCATCATCTACATATCATAGGTTGTTAATGAGTCTTCCTCCAATCCTGATGCTGTGTTCTTCTTCACATCGTCCAGCTTCTCAGATTATTTGCTCAACACAGAGATTGAATAAGTGTGGTGAAAGGATACAATCCTGATATACATCCCTCCTGATTTTAAACCATGCAGTATGTCCACATTCTGTTCAAATGCCAGCCTCTTGGTCTGTACAGGTTCCTTATGAAAACAGTGAAGTCTTCTGGAATTCCTATTCTTCACAACGTTTTCCATAATGGGGAGGTTAGAGGGAAGAGACGTGGAGGTCGTGCTTGCATATGTTGGTGTGGTGTGTGATGTGGAGGGAGGATAGAAGCTGTAGTTAGCTGCCGGATGGGTGGAAGTGTACTACTTCTCCTCTACTATATTTGGAAGTCAATTGAAAATGTGTTAAAATGACAAATCAAGAAATATCCATATAAGCACATTTTAAGAAAATGCAAGTAAATGACAAAAGAATCTAGACACATCCCTCTTGCACCCTCTGAGACACAAAATGCCAATAAGGACCGCTCTGTCTGTCAGCAAGAAAAACAGAGGTTACAAATGGCTATGGGGCAGATTCCCCGGGGGGAGGGCCCTGCACATAGCCTGCAAGTCGATTATATAGGACCAATGACACCAGTGGCCCCAGGTGGCTATAAATGGGTCCTTACAGGAATAGATACTTACTCTGCACTGGGCTTTGCTTATCCTGTGACAGATGCAAATGCCAAAAACACCATTAAAGGATTGGAACAAAAGATATTATACCAATTTGGGCCACCGAGTTATATTTCCTCAGACCAAGGAACACACTTTATAGCCCATAGGGTGCAGCAGTGGGCCAAGAAACATCAAATTAAGTGGACATACCATCCTTAAAGTAATGGTTTGATAGAGAATTGGAATGAGCCATTGAAACATTTGTTATCTAAAACAGGGGGGAGATAAAGGCCTGAAGGGCAGGCTCACACATCTTCATGAATGTATGCTCACACTCAACATGACTGGGGTGAGGGGAGGATCACCACTGGACAGATTCCTATGTTTTTCTGGGGGATCTGGGGAAGAGGGGATGGGGAAGGATGCTGGTGCCACACTACATCTTCCCCACATCACCTGACATTGCTTTCTTTCTGCCAGAAGCTGTGATCCCAGGACATGGGATGCAGCTGTGGGTGCCAGAGGCAGGGCTGATCCCTAAGCAAGAGACTACAACTATACTTCTGAACCTGTACACAAGAATTCCCAAGGGCCTTTTGGGATGGATTGTACCTTCCTCTCATCTGGCAAAATTGGAGATGACAGTGAATACTACCATCTTGCCCAGTGGCCAAGATAGCCCACTAGATTTGTACCTATGTAATCATACCCAACATGACTGGGAGTGGACTGATGGGGAAGTACTTGCCGCATTGGTCTTGCTCCCAGAAACCTGGACTAGCACAGCAGCTGAATCTGATGTCCTTTCCCAAGGTGGGAAAATGTGGGTAAAAATAAATGACAAATGGAAGGAAAGAGAAATAATAGCTGAAGGAGAAGGAATGAATAAATGGGTTATGCAGTGGAGGAAATCTAACATTATGCTGATAGTTAAAGAGAGACCCAGAGCAAGGGAATAATATTCCCAGTTAAATTTTATCAGCAGCCAGACAAGGGGACGATGAGGGAAACTTTTGGAGCACCTGATCAGATCAGATGGACACCTGCACCAGACCTGAACGGCTGGCACCTGAGTAACCTCTCCCTTAGGACTCTTTACCCTCCTGGGGGCTAATTGTTAGTGACTTTGGGACAGGTAAAATGACTGGGAGGGGCAGATTAATCCTTCAAGTGTGAAAGGACTAATGGCTAGAAGAGCCAGGGGGTGACCTGCAGTGCAGTGAATTGCTTACTATGCCCTTCCTGCCATCATTCTCTATTTTGTTGTGTATTGTAAATCCTAGTGTCTGTGCCTTTTTACGGTGGGATGCATCTTGAGTCCCACCTTGCTGGAGGGTGGGGCTCAAGTTACCACCCTTAGCTTCCTTGAGGACATACATGTGAATGTTCTGGGAAAGTTCGCTCTCTTGCTGTGGTTCTGCATTTGATTCGTCATCTTCTCACCCCTGGACTTGAGACAGCAGCTGTCATCTGACCCACCAATTTGGGTTCATCAACCCTTCCAACCCTGTGAGTTGAGAGAATCCTCCAGACCTACCCACAGACCTGGAACTTGCAAACCTGCCAGCCTCTGAACCTCCACCGCCACCATGTGAGCCGTTTCTTTGGGAGTTTGTGAGTTCTATGAGATGTTACAGTGAATTACGGAACCCTAAGACAGGAGGGAGGGTACTGATGAGGAGGAGTCGATGTCAGAGATGATGGAGTGGCACAGCAGTTTGGAAAAGTTGGACATTTGGGGCATCTTTATAGAGACCCAGCCTTATGCTGATCTTTCTAAAAGAAATTATTCAAGCAGAAGTAAATGACAAAAGAAATCTGAGTTAAAAAATGGTTGTTTCTGTGGAGTCAGATACCTGACTGGTGATTTTTGTTATGAGTCTTGTGATAGTAACTGACTTTTAAAACTAGGTGCACATCTTACTTTGATTAATATTTTCAATAAAGAACTTAGTGAGTAGTTATTTTTTTTTTCTTACTTTTTTTTCTAGCACAAAAGCATGAGGAGACTCTACTGAACAATAATATTGCTCAGTTGACAAGAGATTTTTCAAGATACGTTCGCCCCCTGGTAAAGGACCAATACATTTATTTTTCTTTCTTTGATTACAATATGGTACATACAGACAGTAATACCTTAGTTATCTGGCACTATTGGGGTTTTTAGGAAATTCACATTTATTAAGTTTACCCTTTTAATAGTAATGTTTTAAATTTTAGTCATATATAAATGCAAACATGTACACACAGCATATATACATATATACGCAGACATGTGTACACATGTATATATGTGTGTATATATAAATGTGTGTATGTATAATACAGACTCTGGAATTGACTAAAATGTAACTATGGAAAACTTTCTTGATTTAGGGGTCCTCATTTTGTTTTTTATAAGGCAAAGAGATTGGATTATACTTTTTAAGTTTCTTTTTAGATCTTTGATTCTGTTGAATTCCTATGGAGACAAGGATAAATAGGCAGATGTTACAGGGAGGGGGTGGATGAAGTAGGAGCAGGTAAAGAAGTGTTTACTACTTTTTAAAATTTATAATCAATAGTTAATGATAAGCACATGTAAATGGAGTTGGTCAATGAAAAGTAGATGCATCCTATTCTTTGAGAGGTACTGTTACCACAGGTAACTTTTAATATGTTATGAATGTGTAGAGAAACAGGAAGGAGAAATTATAGGTATAATACTCATACAGCTCTGTCTTCTTAATAAGAGGCTACTGGTGATGATTATATAATCAACAAAGACTGTGTGATTAACAGTATGATAACTAAGAACTGAATAGCTCAGTAGAGAATGCTGAATAATTCTTAAAGTAATATTCTTCTTTCTTGACAAAATGTTAAATCCTCCCTTGAAAACTCTCAATCAATCCGCCCTTCCTGTCTTGGCCAGAGAGTTGTCTATTTATCAAAGTACATTCAATTTTGTGAAGTTGTCTCAATGTCTGGGATCCTTAACTTTGCATTCATAGACCCCTTTCCCAGACTCTGTGAACAAGTATCCATGAATCAGCTTTGTGGTTTAATATAAAAATGTTCAAGGAGAAGATGTCCATAGCCTCTGCCAGCTGCTTCAGGAATCAGTTAGCAGCCCTGTCTGAATGTGGTGGGTGCAATGTAGACAGGCTCGTTGGTGTCCTGCTTGTTGAATTCTATGGATAACTGTGGATTTTATGTTTGAGCAGGATAAACTGAAGCAAGATATAAAATACTTTCGAGAGCAAGAAAGCATTCAAATCAAAAATCATTTTGAAATTCTAAGGAACTTAGAAAATGAAATCTATACACATGACGAGAAAACAGAACTTTTACTCAAGGAAAATGAAAGATTAAAAGCAGTAAGTTTAAGAGTATATCACTTTGCAAATTAGTTGTGGTTGATCTCCTAGGCCTGTGATAATTATGAGAGAATAGCTAGGAATTTTTTTTTGGTGGAGCATAAAGTCCATTCAGAAAAGTACCAAAATCATAAATGTGCAGTTCAGTGAACATACCTGTGTAGTGAACACACAGGTCAAGAGTCGAGCATCTGATGACACTGTTTTTGTGCCAGAGCCCCGCTCTCATGCTCTGGAGGCTGGTGAGGAAGAGGCCCATCTATTGGCAGTTTGTGTTGTTGTTAGTAGGTGTTGTGGAGTTGGTTCTGGGCTCTTTTCTTCCCTGTAAGCGAGGGGCCAGGCCTTCCTTTCTAGAATCAGAAATGAAAGAGGGGACATTACTACTCTTGTTGTTGTTAGGTGCCATTGAATTGATTCTGACTCATAGAGACTTCATGTGACAGAGTAGAACTGTCCCATGGGGTTTTCTTGGCTGTAATCATTATAGGAGCTTTCTCTGTACAGTGTTTCTCTGTAGAGTCACTTTCTCTGTAGAGTCGCTTTCTCTGTAGAGTCACTGGGTGATTTCAAACTCAAATCCACCAACCACTCCTTGGAAGGAAGTCTGGGTGATCTACTTCCATGGAGATACCACCTCAGAAACCCAAGGAAGGGTCGCTATGAGTTGGAAACGACTCGACAGCAGTGAGTATCTTTCTGTTAAAAACCAAGTACTTAACTATTGTACCACCAGGGCACCTTATGTTACTACTAATCATATGGAAATAAAAAGGATAATAAAGGGATATTATAAACGACTGTATGCCCACAGACTTTTTTTGTTATTGTTGTTAGCTCTACTGAGTTGACCCCCAACTCATGGCAACCCCTGCACAACAGGATTGGACTATTGTGTTCCATAGGGTTTTCACTGGCTGAGTTTCAAAAGTCGAGTGCCAGGTGATGGTAAAACTATCTCTATTTTACATTAGTATACATAAATTCTTAAGGAATCTACAAAAAAATTACTAGCACTAAGAAAAGAGTTCATCAGGGTTTTAGGATTTAAGATCAATAGACAAACATCAGTACTCAAGATGTAGGGAAATGTATTTTCCCAAAGAGATGACCCATCCAAGTTTTTTTTGTTTGTTTGCTTCGGCCAACTTAAAGATGTGAAAATTTAGGGACACAGATGAAATAATAAAATTTCTACTTCAAATATTTAATGTATTGATTGCATGCTCATTTAAACATTGACATATAAAATAACAGATTATTCTTTTAAATGAAAATTTTTCCTCTCTTAAAGAGAAAATGTTGCTTATACTTTAAAGCATAGTGTATAAACACAAGAAAAGGACATATATAAATAAACACGGACCCCAGTGCTTCCTTTGTTACCTGTGAAGTTGCACCTTAAGTTTGGGGCATCACCGTCTGAACACAGTGAGGATTGGGCCAGGCCAAGGGAGCTCCAAATGTCCAACTTTATAACATCAGGCTGGGAGAGGGCCATGCTAGTTCGCACCGGTCAGCCTACCAGGCTTAGATATTTATTGCTGCATCAGAAGTATCTGCTTTTACATTGAGTCTTCAGCAGACTGACTGTGGCCTAATACTGCAGTCCAGGAGGAAGAAGGTTGTAAAAATATAAACGTGATCGCCTTAGGCACTATGCCACCAGAGCTCCCATAAAAGTGATCAGCAATGTCAAATGCAGCAAACTTACCTATTAGGTTGAACCATTTTTGCAGATCAAATTTGGTCAAATATTGACAATTTCATGTGGTTCATGGTTCACACTGACAGTATGAAGATACTTGAAAGCATCTTTTGGGTTTGACAGATTCACTGAGAGCTGTTTGAGTGAAGTGAAATGCTAAGAGAAAAATCTAGACTACACTGAGTTGTAGAGTGAATAACAAAACCACTGCCATAGAGTTGATTCCAGCTCATAGTGACCCCCTTTGGATGAATAGGACGCTAGAAAGAGAGGGAAGTCTGTGGTTTTGAGAAGTTCAGATATGACAAAGAAAGGAGAGACTGGGTACTGTAAAAAACCAAAAACCACACTGTGGTAGTTATGTTTGTGTGTCATCTTGGCTGGGCCTGGTTGAGTGGCTGGGCAGCTGGTGGTAGTTATTCCCCATGATGAGACTGGCAATCAGTTCCATGATGGGATCTACCACAAGCAGCTGAGTAGCTGCTGTTGCGATGTGGTCTGCTTCCTGTGTATAAGGAGAAGTCTTTGGAATGATCTCTAGCCTATGGCATGCTTGGACCCTGCAGGTAGTAGTGTCGTTGCTCAGCAGCCTGCTATGCTCTGCCGACCTTGGACTTACAATGGACCTAAGTTAATAACCTGCCGTGTGGTTTGGTAACATTGGGACTGTGACAAGTAAAAACTTGTCAACCTTGGGGCTTCTCAGCCTCAGCAGCCAGCGTCCGTCTGAGTGAAGAAATGCCTCTAGCTGCAGTGGGCTGGGAGCAGGAGGCAGAGCTGGACCCCAAGGTTGAGGGGTTTTCACCCAGCCCCTAGAACCTGGCACTTTGAACTTGGACTTAAAGCCTCCAAATTGTAAGAATTAACTCCTGTTTGTTAAGGCCATCCCATTTGTGGTATATTTCTTGTCAGAGAAACACTAGGTAACCAGAACACACACTCACTGCCATTGAGTCGTTTCTGACCCCTCCTTGGGTTTCTGAGGAGGTATCTCTATGGAAGTATATTGCCCAGTCTTCCTTCTGAGGAGTGGCTGATGGGTTTGAACTGCCAGCCTCTGGTTAGCAGTCAAATGCCTTAGGCACTATGCCACCAGACCTCCTGGATACTGTATGGAGAAAGAATTAAGACCTGGGGAAACTTTCTTGTTGCTGTTTTAGGAAGATGCATATTATGAGCATCCTGAACATATTATGGGTTCAACAAGACAGAAAACAACAAATGCTAGTGAGAGTGCTGTCAACCACTCAGAGAAGAATCTACGTAGGAGATCCTGGATAGACTGGGAGAACAATGTGGAACAAAACTCAAAATATTTTTATTTTTTTTAAAAAAGGAGGGGGGACCAGTTTTGCTGGTCTGACAGAGCCTGATGGAACCCCTGAGACTATGGCCTCTAGCTTCTCTTTAGGTCTGGATTTGAACCCACTCTCGTGGCTTCTAACCAAACCAAAGACAGGCATATGAGCTGAACATTTACGTTAGGTATATACACTCCTTGCAGAGATCAATCATGGGAGAATAGAAGGGCTGTGTATGCACAGGGAGACAGCTCGTGGGGCAGGAGTGCATGGAAGGGAAGGACACAGGAAAGAGGTAACTATGGGGAGGTATTGGGAAGAGAGCAGTTGCATTGTGAGAGATAGTAGTCAATGTCATGAGACAAAGTGTATATGAGCTGCTGTATGGAAAGTGAATTTGCTCTGTAAACTGTCACCCAAATCACAGTAAAAATTTTTTAAAAAAATGCTAGTGAGAGTGTAGAGAGATTGGAACTCTCATACACTGCTGCTGGGACTGTAAAATAGTACAACACTATGGAAAATGGTATGGTGCTACCTTAAAAAGCTAGAAATAGAAATACCATTTGATCCAGCAATCCCATTACTGGGAATATATTCTAAAGGTGTGAGATCCAAGACACAAATAGATATATGCACACCCATATTCATTGCAGCACTATTTACAATAGCAAAGAGATAGAAACAACTTAAGTGCCCCTTAACATGAATGAATAACCAAATAATTATACATACACACAATGGAATATTATGCAACAAAGAATAATGAAGAATCAGAGAATAACCTCATAATGTGAATGAACTTGGAAGACATTATGCTGAGTGAAATAAGGCAATCATAGAGGACAAATATTGTATGAGTGCTTTACCGGAAAAAGTCATGGGAAGGTTTATACAGGGAAATAAATTCTTTGTTGGTTACCAGGGATGAGAGGAGAGAGAGAAGGAGGGAAAATAGAAGGACAATTGTGATAGTTGGAGCTGTGTGTCAACTTGTCTGGACCACAATTCTGTGTGGTTTAAGCAATTGTGATGCGGGTTATTCCCATGATGGGATTGGATGTGTATGTTTTGAGCAGCCAATCCATTGAAAAGGAGTTTCCCTAGGGGTGTGGCCTGCTTCCAATATACTTATGGACATCCTGGGAAAAGAGACACTCTTCTGTGGATCAGGATTCTGTTGTGCTGCCTACAACTGTCCGTGAGAGAACAATCCACCACACAAATCTCGGATTCATCATTCATTGGAGTCAACAGCCAGCATACCGCCTGCCAACCTTGAGCTCGTCAGCCCCTGCAGCTGCATGAGTCAGGAAAAGCCTCCAGCTTGACGTTTGATCCAAGAACTTGGGACTCGGCAGCTTCTATAAGTGTGTGAGCCATTTTCCTAAGATAAATTTCTCTTTCTCTATATGTATACATAAGATTTACGGGTTTTGTTTCTCTAGAGAACCCAGCCTAACACAATAATTAAGAGACAGGTTTGATATGGGTGAAGGGAAAAGCAATATAATGAAAGTGTATGACTAGCATAATATCACTAAGGAAAAAGAAGACATGGAGAGGTGCACAAGAGGTATAGACAATAAAGGCAAATACTATTGCATACACAATACTGCATTATCAGTAACAGCAAACACTAATCTATGGGTAGATACATAGGTAGACAGGTATGGACAGACAAATAGGAATATACCCAAGACCATGGATAAGTTTCACATGATATTCCTATGTATTCCTACATATGTATTTGTATGTGCTATAAAAATGTCTTTATGCAGTTTATACGTAACAGGAGGCAAAGTTAGGATAAATTCTTAGCCACAGATAAGCATCTTGAAGGAGTGGGTTCCCTGTGGGCTGGAGATCATGGTCATAGGGGACATCAAGCTCAACTGGCACAACATAGTCTACAAAAATATTATTCTACATCTTACTTCAGTGAGTAGCAATTGGGATCTTAAAAGCTTATGAGCAACCATATAAGTGGCAAC